AAAATAACTTTTCTTTCTTAATTCCAGGGTTTTCCCTGGTAGCTCAGATGGTAAAGAGCCTGTCTCCAATGCAGGAGACCTGGTTTCAATCCCTGGGTAAGGAAGATCCCCTGGAGAAGGGAATGGCAACCCACTCCAATATTCTTACCTGGTGAATTCCATGGGCAGAGGAGCCTGGCAGGCTATATACAGTCCATGGGGTCACAAAGAGTCAGATACAATTGAGAGACTAACACTTTTTCTTAATTTCTACTGAAATTGTAGAAATTAAACATCCAGACTTTAGCTATGTGTATGGCTTGAAGCCCTAACCCAGTTTTATTTCTAAATTCTCCAGTTCCTTATCTCCACTATATATTGACACTTTCCTGTGAGGTTGCTCTGCCTTCTGTCTGCAGAGGAGGAGATGTAGGCAGTTGGAATCAGGCACTGTTCCTCTGCTGGGCCATCTCATGGTTTACACTATTGCAACAGCTCCATTCCTGGTTTCTTCTAGTATTCTTTCTGGGAGGAGAGGTACCATCACAAAACCTCCTCCTCTCCAATTCTTGACATCACCAATAGAAACATCAATACCAGAAAGAAAGTCAAAATCTCATCTCGAGCTGGTAGCTTTTCCCTGAGATGGTTCTCAAGACTGACCTTTTATCATTCATGCATTGAATCATCAAATATGTATTGAGGATGTAACAAATGGTTTGATCTATTTCAGAAACCACACTTTATGAAACACAGGTAAGTTATTGTATCATTGCCATTCAAAATGTGTGATCTAGTGAGGAGATGGCAAGTGGCAAGTGTTCCCTCAGTCATGTCTGATTCTTTGTGATCCTATGGATGGTAGCCGTCCAGGCTTCTCTGTCCACGGGGTTCTCCAGGCAAGAATACTGGAGTGAGTTGCCATGCCCTCCTCCAGGGGATCTTCCTGACCAAGGGATGGAACCCACGTCTCCTGCATCTCCTGCATTGGCAGGTGGGCTCTTTCCCACTGAGCCACCTGGGAAGACGATGGACCCATAAATCTTGATGTCACAGCACAGACTGCCTTTAAAGGTGGCCTGAGGAGAATAGACCACAGTGCTGCAGAAGAGGACAGTGGAGGTGAGAGCTTTTTGAAAGCTGAAGGGGTCCAGAAAAGCCCTGGAAGACATGAGACTTGAAAGCTAAATCATGTCAAATCAGACAGGTATTAAATGGATTCAGGAAGGAGGCAAGGGCATTCTGAGAGTCCAGAAGAAGCAAGCTGAGAATAAAGTTAGGGAGTTTACATGTGACAGTAATAAGACATAGCTGGAAAGAGTACAGTAAGAAAGTGTACATTAATGTTTTCTGAGGATGGTCTGCATATGGGAATATCTATATGTGTGCATATATATGTGTGTGTGTGTGTATATATATATATATATATATATGTATATATATATAGGGCTTTCTCAACTGCTCAAGCAGTAAGGAATCTGCCAGGAAAAGAGGAGACACAGGAAATGCGGGTTTGATCTCTGAGTTGGGAAGATCCTCTGGAGGAAGCAATGGCAACCCTCTCCAGTATTCTTGCCTGCAGAATCTCATGGACAGATGAGCTTGGCGGGCTATAATACATGGGGTCCCAAAGAACCAGACATGACTGAGCACACACACATACACACACACAAAACTTCCTAGTGAAATTGAATGTTCAAGACACTTAATTTTGATGCTCTGAGAGTCTGATCATTGACCTCAACTGTTATGCCATTTGTCACCCAGGGTACAGGGGTATTGTGTGCAAACAAACTCCAAATGACCTACCTGACACACAGGAGTTCCCCAGTTCAGCATATACTCCAAATACTGACTCCGTCCTGCTTCTTTCTTTTAAATGTCAAATACAGAGAATTTGCAAAAATGATCCTTGACCCTTTCACAACTCTAGTTTCCAAAACAATTCTTAAAGCCTATGAAGATAAATCTCTCGTTAACTATTTCTTGTAGTTTCTGAAAGTTTGCTGATTTGTTAAATTTTTATGGATCTCTTCTCATTAGGACACAATCAAGCCAGAAATTTTGCAATATATGCAATTAAATGAAGAGAGGGAGCAAATGAAAAAGGTGGCTAAGGTCAGTTGGATATTGCCAACATTTCTAGGAAAAAGAATCTACTTTTATTAAAGAAGAAGTGACACATATCAATTGATTAATAAAAATCAGTGACATCTATCAGTTGATTAATAAAAATGCTCTTTAAAATTTTAGTGAGATAAATCAAAGTTGAAGAAATAATTGTTTTCTTAATTTAAACTTTTTATTTTGTATTGGAGTATAGCCTATTAACAATGTTGTGCTAGCTCCAGATGAACAGCAAAGGGAATCAGTGATACATATACATGTATCTATTCTCTCCTGAACTCCTCTCCCATCCTGGCTGCCACATAACATTGAGCCGAGAACCCTGTGTTATGTAGTATGACTTTGTTGATTAGTCATTTTAAATACGTCAGAGAGTACATGTTGATCCCAAACTTCCTAATTATCTCTTCTTCCCATTCTTCCACCCTGGCAACCATAGGTTTGTGCTCTAGAAGAAATTTTAACAAAGATTTTTCAAAGGTTTGCAAAAGTCCAAGAAGAATTGTATCACTAATCAAAAGAATGTGTTCTGTTAACTTTGCAAATGCGTTTGTACATGCTATTCCTCAGTTCTGGAATGCCCTTCTCCTTAACTGGTAAAGTTCTTATCATTTGCAATTCATTTGATTATCCACCTTTTCTTCTCTGATAGCATGCCTGTCTAGAATTCAGTACAATTCTATGTTCTCATAAAACACTGAGATTTCCTCTGTTAATGATGTTTTAAATCAGAAACATAACAACTGAACTCTGACTTTCTCTGCACCTCTGTTCTTCATCACTCATGGACAGTTTGTCTTGAATTCTGTATGTTTCTTAGCTATGTGATAAGGGAGTCTTATTAGGGAGTCACCAATGTTTCCAGGCAGATATGGAAGTTTTAGGATTGGAAATTATGACCACCATCTTTAGACTGAGATATAGGTTGAGATGTAGTATGGCCTTTAAGTAGAGATCACACACTGATTATAAAAGCAATGAATCTGAGGGGAATAAATTAATTAATTCATACATGTATGCAATCAATCCTTCAGCCTTCACTTAGTTACCTATACATTGAGATGTGTCAATAAGCAGAATTAAAAGTTATTATAATCACTTAAAATTATCTAAACATATAATTTAGGAGAGTAGAATTGCCTGCCATTAAAGAATTTGAGAATTTTGGTTAGAATTCTCAAGGAAAATCTGACATCACTGTACAGAGATGAGACATCTACAATGAAAACATAAAAATAATATTTTAATAATTTGCTCAAGATGAAAAAGAACATTGCTCTTTCAGGCTTCCAATAGCTTTTCTCACTGGCAGGATTTTTACTAAGAATCTTGCAAGTCAGGTTCAATACTTTCCCATAAAAAGAAAGAAACTGACATTGTATTTTTTAGTTTTCATTTATTCCCTTCTGAGATTTTTGGCTAAAGTTGAATCATAGAGTATTTAGTTGTTCTTACTATTGCTTTTTAAGTAAGGTTATTAGACTATGAAGTCTTACTGAGATTTAAATAGTTAGATCTAAGGCATTGGGAAATCACCCCATTGATTCAGCTACTTAATATTATAATTCCTTTCATCCCTAATGATACTGACCACGTCAAGTTGGTCCCTGACTAGGGGCCTTCTAGCTGGTGTTGCTAGTGCAAACACAATGAGACCTAGTTGAGTTAAACACTAATTTTTATTAGATACAGTTGCTTTACAATATTGTTAGTTTCTACAGCACAGTAAAGTGAATCAGCTATATGTATACATGTATCCCCTTTATTTTGAATTTTCTTCCCATTTAGGGTCGCCACAGAGCCCTGAATGGAGTTGCCTGAGCTATACAGAAGATTCTCAATAGTTATCTGTTTTATGCATGTGTGCTAAGTCATTTCACTCCTGTCTGACTCTTTGTGACCCTATAGACTATAGCCCACTAGGCTCCTCTGTCCATGGGATTCGCCAGGCAAGAATGCTGGAGTGGGTTGCCATGTCCTCTTCAGGGGATTTTCCCAGCCCAGGCATCAAATCTGCATCTTCTGTGGTTCCTGCACTGCAGACGGATTCTTAACGCTGAGTCACCAAGGAAGCCCCATCTATTTTATCCGTGCTATCAGTCATGTATATCTGTTAATTCCAATCTTCCAATTCATCAAACCCTCCCTCTTTCCCCACTTGGTGTCTCTGTTTGTTCTGTATATCTGTGTCTCTATTTCTGTTTTGCAAATAAGATCATCTATTCCATCTATGTGGAGTCCACAATGCTTTCTTCTTGGATTAAAGACTGAAGAAGTGTGACCTTATGTTCTTGACCAGTAGCCCACAACCTTTTTGGCACCAGGGACCAGTTTCATGAAAGACAATTGTTCCGCAGACCAGGGTTGCGATGGGGGTGGTTTTGGCATGATTCAAGTGCGCTACATCAACTGTGCACTTTATTTCTATTATTATTATTACATTAGGCTTCGCTTGTGGCTCATTTGGTAAAGAATCCACCTGCAATGTGGTGGGAGACCTGGGTTTAATCCCCCGGTTGGGAAGATTCCCTGGAGAAGGCAATGGCAACCCACTCCAGTATTCTTGCCTGGAGAACGCCATGGACAGAGGAGCAGGACAGGCTGCAGTCCGTGAGATCGCAGAGTTGGACATGATTGTGTGACTTTCTCTTTCACAGCTCCACCTCAGATCATCAAGCATTAGATCTCAGAGCTTGGGGACCCCTGCTCTAGAGCACACACTTCTCGCTCTCCCTGGCGAGGCTGCTTTATACCCTGTCTTGTCATCCCGAGAGGGGGCGGAGTTCTCGCGAGACTGGCATGGCTGTGCCGCTCAAGGCTCCAGATCTCAGGGCCGGGCACATTGCCTCTACACGTGACCCGCCACTGCTATCTTGAATTGAGTGCCGTGTGCAGCGCTTCTGCACACAGCCCGCAAAGCTGAGGTGTTGATACCGCCATTTCCAACCAGCAGTGCCGGTCTGAAGTGCCGGATTCAAGGCCTCTGCATACGACTCCCAGTGAGCAAGTGACATTCAACTGAGCACAAAGAAAGAAAAAAAAAAAAAGAAAAAGGTTAGACCTTATTTTATTACCTCAATTCTGTTTTCACTCCCAGGGAATTGTTAACAGGCTTTGCTGGTGACACTAACTTTGAAAAACTATTAGAATCTTTTATTTTTTCAAAATTAATTGAGTTTACTAGACTAATGATAAGGTCTTCTCTTGATAAAACAGGCTTCCCAGGTAGCTCAAACGGTAAAGAATCTGCCTGCAGTGTAAGAGACCTGGGTTTGATCCCTGGTTTGGAAGGTCCCCTTCTTGCCTGGAGAATCCCATGGATAGAGGAGCCTGGCGGGCCACAGTCCGTAGGGTTGCAGAGTCAGACAAGACTGAGCAACTAACACTTTCACTTTCACTTGGCCGTTAGCTAGTTTATGTATAATTGATATACATAAGGTTTTGCTAGTGACACTAACTTTGCAAGATTATTAGAAATTTTAGTTTTTTTTTAAATTAATTGACAGTTTACTAAACTAATTATAAGGTCTTCTTTTGATAAAACATGAACGTAAATAGTACCATAAACTCTCTTGATTGAACAACTACTGAAAATATATTCTTTTCTTGTTTGGCTTTTTTTTCTCAGCATAATTATTTTGAGATTCATCCTTGTCATGAATATCATGTGTAGCATATAATTTATTTACATAAAACTCTACCAAAATACACACAGAAAGCCAATTATATGTTGCCTGGGAACAAGAAGTTCAGAGGAACCCAGGATAGAGGAGCAGAGGGAACTTTTGGAGCGATGGATGCAGTTGTTCCTTATCTTGATCATGCTGAGTATTTTATAGATGTTGTTGTTCAGTCACTAAGTCATATCTGACTCACTGCAACCCCATGGACTGCAGCACACCAGGCTTGCCTGTCCCAGTATCTCCTGGAGTTGGCTCAAACTCATGTCCATTGAGTTGGTGATGCCGTCCATCCATCTCATCCTCTGTTGTCCCTTCTCCTTTTGCCTTCAGTCTTTCCCAGCATCAGGGTCTTTTCCAAGGAGTTGGCTCATAGCAACAAGTGGGCAAAGTATTGGCGCTTCAGTTTCAGCATCAGTCCTTCCAATAAACGTTCAGGGATGATTTCCTTTAGGTGTATTCATATGCTAACTCTTATCTGCCATGTAATTTAAATATATGGTTTATTGTATGCTAATTACAGCACAAAAAAGCTATTAGAATAGTGTTTAAAACATGAAAAAAGTTTTCACACTTTTATAGATAAACCGCACCAATACTTCTTACAGTTCAAGTTCACTAAATTCATTAATGGTGATCTTGTTTTTAAAAATTTTGCCTCCTAGAACCTATAAAAACAATAAAATGCAGTAGTCAAAATTTTCACTATTATATATGAGCAAACATGCATCCAGATGACAAAACCTCTGTCCAATTTATGGCTCATTTTTGAGCCATACCTACCATCTGAACCAATATGGAAACCATAGCTAATTGTAGCAATACTTTGGAAAACATTTTTCAAGAACAAGATTTAAGTGTTGACTGAAATAATCTAAGTTAAAAAAAAGTGTCCAGTGGCTCTATGTAAAGTAACTATGTCATAATGATAGTTAAGTAATATTTTTCACTATTCCTTCTCAGCTGTGATAATGGAATTATCATAGCATATTTAGTATATATTTTAGTTATCTTTCTGGTGTATGTAAACTGGCTCAAACAGTAAAGAATCTCCCTGCAGTGCAGGAGGCCCAGGTTTGATCCCCGGGTTGGGAAGATCCCTTGGAGAGGGGAGTGGCAACCCACTCCAGTATTCTTGCCTGGAGAATTCCGTGGACAGAGGAGCCTAGCAGAGAGCTGGACAAGACTGTGCAACTACTAACACTGCTAAACTCCTATTAGATTCTATCCTTGTAAAGTGCAGGGTGTGGGCGCTCAGTCATTTCATTGTATCCCATTCTGTGGGACCTGATGTACTGTAGTCTACCAGGCTCTACTGTTCATGGGATTCTCCAGGCAAGAATACTGGAGTGGATTGCTGTTTCCTTCTCCTTTGGATCTTACCAACCCAGGGACTGAACCTGCATCTTCTGCAGCTCTTGCATTGCAGAATTCTTAACCACTGAACCATCAGCAAGCACATTATGCTTGCTGTGCCTGTGTGCAGAATTGCTTCAGTCTTGTCCGACTCTTTGCGACCCATGGACCACAGCCTGCAAGGCTCCTGTCCATGGGATTTTCCAGGCAAGAATACTGGAGTCGGTAGCCTTTTCCTTCTCCATGGAATCTCCCCAATGAGATGAGTGTGGAAACGAGGTGCATTTCTACGCTTAGGGAAGAACTTGCATTGATTATAGTCTGACACCATTGATCCCAATTTTTCCTGGGTGAGGAGTAGAAGTTCATTTGACAGTGGATCATATTCTACGTAGTGACTTAGGTCCACTGCAATGTGACATTGAATTTAAATTCAAGCTGAAGTGTAACAAAGTTAGAATTTGAATTTCAAAAAATCAACAAGATCATCAAATATTGAATCAATATAGAGCTATTTGAGAAAAGGCAGATTAAACAGTGTTCTGAGGTTTTTCTGAATATCTACATTTCTCCAATTTCCCTCAAAGAAGCAAGTATAACATGGATGTTTCTGTTTGAAATTTCTAATGGTCTTGCTGTATTTCAATATTCATTCAATATATATCAATATCTATCTGTCTGAAACTTAGTGTCCATTCTCATTAAATTTGCTATCCTGGGGAGGAAATAGACAAAAAAAGTTAACTAACAAATTACTAAAATAGTAGTAAATTGTGCTGTGAGGGAAAAATAAGAGCAAATATAGAAAGTAGGCAGAAACAACTTTAGAAAGCATGGGCAAGAAAGGTCTAATTGACGAGGTGCTGTTTAAGTGGAGTTCTGAATGATAAATGGAAATTCATGCAAAAGTCTGGGGAAAGAGTTCCAAGCTGAGGAGAATAGGTAAAGAGTTGAAGATGGAAAGTCCTGAAAACGCTTTTTGGACTATTGTTAGTTTAAGGTATGATATGAGATGGGCAAATCTACCCAAGAAACAGCCAAAACCTCTTGAGAGATTTCTATGGGTCAGACACTTCTTGAAGTCCTTTGTGCATAACATTCTTAATCATCCCAACAATTCTATGAGGTTGTTATTACCCTCATTTTATAGATAAGGAAACTGAGACACAATGAGGACAAATAGCTTCCCAAAGTCTCAAAATTAGGTTCAAGGAAGGCTTTTGTCTTTAGAGTCCATGCTGCATACTGTGTGCTAACTTGCTTTAGTCATGTCTGACTCTTGGTGACCCTATGGACTGTAGCCCACCAGGCTCCTCTGTTCATGGGATTCACCAGGCAAGAATACTGGAGTGGGCTGCCATGCACTCCTCCAGCAGATCTTCCCAACCCAGGGATCAAACCTGCATTTCTTATGTCTTCTTTATTGGCTGTGAGGTTCTTTAACCACTAGCACCACTTGGGAGCCCTTTAGGCTATTTTGCATCCTCTATAGTCTGGGGCTTTCAGAAAACTAATATGAAAATATCATAATCAAGTTTGTTTGGACAGTAATGGGATAGGTCAGAAGAGGATGTGATGGGAAGAACTAAATTCCATAGATGCCTCTTTCTCATATACCTCCCTCCCTTACTTAACTCCCTTCAGGACTGAGAGTAAAAATAATTGGAGCATCAGGGTTAGTCCATTAGTTCACTTGATACAAATACAAAGGGAGATATAAAGCCAGCATACCAATTAAAAGAGAAATACACAGGTATATACAGAAACTGTGAATAAGGCATTTCACATTCTGGTGCTTAGAAGTCCATCTAATTATTAGTGGTAGCTTGAGCCAAAAAGAGTACAGAATCAATCTGAGAGTTCAATTTTGACTGTATATATGTGGTTTCACATATTTCACATATTTCAAATATTTTCACATATTTCCAATTGATGATAGCTATAGTCATAAAATGGCTAGAGTTCAGAGATGGGATGTTTTTCAGAGGGAGAATTAGAAGAACCAATCAGGAACCCAGTCAAAGGGGACCTAAGAGCAAAGGGAAAACCCATGAGAATAGATGAGCTCAGATACTAGAGAACTGTACTACCAAGGTCCTAGACTAATCAGTAGTATTATGGAAGTTAACCTATTACAGGCCTAAGTTTCTTTATTGTCTTCTTGCCTCGGTAGAAGACCTCAGACTTTGAGTATTAGTCTATGTGTTAACTGACCAAATCTGAGAATCATGAAGTTTTTAAAGACTAAAGAGCAGTTAACAGTCAGTATAGGGTACCAATGAAGAGGTTAGTCAATGTGTAAACATATTTTGAGACCCACCATGTGCCAGGTAATGGATTACTTCCTTTGTGGCTATCTCTTCAGATAAGCCAGTGGAGGGACAAAGGTATCCTTTAGACTCTTCTTGACTATTCCCCCCACCCACCACCCCAAACTGGGCTCTTATAAATGGGAAGATAAGTAGGCACAGAAAATACTTTACTTGCAAATAAACTACAACATTGTACACAACCTGTGCTTTCTGTTAGTTAGATACTCCTGAATGGATCTAAGCCAAAATTTTCAGAGTATAGAACAGTGAAAGAACCAAGATACATAAGAGCATTTGACATTGCCAGAACAAGAGCTCATCACGATGTCTCATACATCTTTCTCTTAACTCATCTCAACTCATATTCCAGAAATCTCCAGTCTGTTCTGCTATCACCTTGTCCTGCCGTAGGGGTTGAATCTATGTAGAAAAAAGGACAATACATTCAAGAAGACAGCTTTTCCCACTTATTCTTATAGAGAAAATAAGTGTGGCTGACCCCTCTGGAAACACTGCCCTGATTCTTCTTTATCCACAACATCCAAAGAGGCTATGTTTTGTGCTGTTATAAGCTAAAATTGCAGAAAGTGCCACAAAGATGTCCTTGAGATAGTTGTATGTGCAAAAAGACAGACTATGAGGACAGGATATTATTTGTAGTGTGTGGAAAATCTCATGTATGTACTCCTTAGGAACAATTTGCCAA